TCGCCCTGCTGCACGCGCGACCTTGCTCCACCCGCACCCGCGCCGGCGCCGGCGCCAAACTCGTCCATGTGCGAGCTGAGTGCGGGCGACGATGCACCGCGCCGGGCGCCCTTGACCACGCGCATGCTCTTGGCGCGCAGCGTCGAGATGAGCCGGCTTCCGCCCGTGTGGCCCTCGCTGCGGTACTGCGCGTGCATGTTGGGCGTGTCCGAGCTGACACGCATCTCGGCGTCGCGATCGGCGCTGGCATGACTACGGAGCGAAGATCGCGACGCACTGCGCGACGTCGTCTTCCGGAGCTGGTCGCTCAGCAGTATGCGCTTAGTCGAGCCACCCGGTCCGGGCCGGAAGACGTCGTCGGTCGTATCGGCGCTCTTGTCGTCCGCAGTGGCGCGCTCGCGCTCCTTGCGCGAGCGGAACATGGTGAGCTTGCGGATCATGGCGCGGCCCTTGGACGTGCCACGCCCCGCAGCCTCGAGCTCGGCGCGGTACTGCGCAGGCACGACCTCCTGCACCACGAACCACGCTGCATCGATGCGCTCGTCGCGCGGCGCACTCTCGTCCTTGCGCGTCGACGAGACCTGGAAGCGTGTCGGGGCCGAGAGACTCGAGCCGGCGCTCTGGGAGCCGACGGTGCTGGCGTTGGGTCGCGACTTGTACTGGACCACGACAAAGTTGGCGTTGCGATGCGTGAGTTCGTCGCGGTTGCTCCAGCCGCTGCCGAGCAGAAAGTCGGCCCAGACATCGGCGAAGCTCTCGTCCATGCGGCTGATGGGATGGGTGTCCATCTTGCCCTGCGGCGTGCCTGCGAGCGACGGGCTGGCGAGTAGGCGCGGCGTCGTGTCGTAGTGGAAGGGCGGCAGCTTGTCCTGGCGCGCCTTGAGTTTGGCGTGCAGCTGGTCGCGCTCCGAGGGCCAATTGTGCACGTCGTGCTTGAGGGATTCGTCGAAGCTGAGCGCATCGGCGAGGGTGTCCGAGTCGCTGGCATGGAAGCCGTCCTTGGAGAAGTCGGTCCATTGCATGCTCTGGCGCTTGACGGTGCGATTGCGCCTTGCGCTCTCCTTGAGATCAAACGCGAGCTTGGACGAGTCCGGCGCGCCGAAGCCGTCGGACAAGAAGTCGTCCCAACGCTTGCTGACTAGCGAGCCATGCGCAGCGACGGCATCGTCCTCCTCGGCGGCAGCGGGCGTAGAGACGCTCGAGCCGGACTTGCGGCCCTGGATCGCGCCGCCGCGCAGATTGACGAGCTTGCGAAACTTGTCCGACAGCTGCGGATCCCTGCCGATGGCTTCATACGTGTCGCAGCAGTCTCGCCACTCTGGACACGCTTCGGCGAGGTCGATCTCGCATGCGGACTGGACAAGGTCGAGGGTGTAGAGGCGCACATTGCGCTCGATCTGAGTGACGGGGACGAGCTTGGACGAGGGGGAGGGCGAAGTGATCTCGGCGGGGAGCATGGAGGGATAGCCGTTGACGTGCTGGGCGAGTCTAGGCGGGAGGGCGGCCTCGGTAGCCTGGAGGCGGATGTAGGCAAGGAGGAGGTGCTCGGTGGCGTTGCTGGCGCGGACGTAGGCGTCGTAGGTGCGTGCAAAGCTCTCGTCCTCGGGGAGGCCAAAGAGGAGCGGGCCAAAGTGCTTGCAGAGCTTTGCGGGCATCATGCCGTTCTTGAGCGAGTAGCTGGCGGTGGAGGAGAGCAGATCAAAGAGGGCGCTGAGCAGCCTGGCGTTGTCCGGGGCGAGGTGGGCGAGAAAGTGGTCAAAGGCGGAGTGGGAGTAGTGGGATCTGCGCTCTTGGTCGCGCCATACGTTGTAGGCTTCGAGGTCGAGGAAGCCGCGCTGGTGGACGTAGACCATCTCCTCGCGCACCTCGCCCTTCTTTTGGCCTAGCACGGGGACGGGCACGGCCAGCACGCGGCCCATGCGCGCGAGGGCCCACTTGATGAGGGCGGCGAGGTCGTGCGGATTGGCGTAACGAATCTCGTCGAGGAAGGCGGGAGGAAGTGCGCGCTGCAAGGGCTGTGTGGTGGCAAAGAGGCGGATGAGGGAGGCGACGTTGGTGGGGGAGAGGTCGAGCGCCATGGAGGAGAAGATGAGTGGGTTGTCGAGGCCGCGGCTGCGGAGGTGCTGGCCGCATGCTTCGAGGAGCGCAAGTACACGCGCGGCTTCGAGCTGAATAGGCCAGCCTTCGGTGGAGTAGCCGTATGCGTATGGGGGCTTTTGAGCGATGGCGTGTGCGGCGTCCGAGGTATAAGAGGATGGAGCATTGGAGGGTAGGCGGTTGAGGCTGGAGCGGGAGGTTACGGTGTGCAGTGCGTTTGAAGAGTGGAGGAGGCGGGTGGTGGTGACTGAGGTTGATGAGGATGCGAGCGTGGCTGGGCGTGGTGGAGCCGCATGTTGCAAGCGACCGAACTCGGAGGTGATGCCATTGGAGGCGGCCAAAGATGGAAGCGAGGTGGCATTGCGGGGTGCGTCCTTGGGGGGTAAGGTGGGGAGGTCGTCCTTGGTAGGCACGCTTGGGAGGAGGTGCGCATCTGCGGTGCTAGGCGTGGGCGACGAAAGGCCGAGGCGATCGATGTCGGCCGAGCTGATGGCGCCCGGATAGGTCTTTGAAGCGCCGAGTGGGGAGAGCGACTGTTTGGGCTTGGACTTTCTGGAGAAGAGGCCAGGCATTGTGAGCAGGATGCGCCGTAGCGCTCGTTGGGATGGATGAGCAGCACACGATGAAGATGGTACGGGGGTATAGGGTATTGTGGGTATGCGTGATTTGGAGGCTAGGAACGCGACTGCCGGATTGGCAGAGGTCGTGGTGGTGGGACAATGGGAGTGATTGGGATGAGGGGCGGGCCGAAGTGTGCCGCTGGCCAGGGGGTAGAACGTAGAGGCGAGCCGTTGGAGTGTGCAGCGTTGTGCAGCCACTCAGGACTCGCTTCGAGGTGCGTGTGACAGTTGAGAGGCCCAATCGAGTGTTGGTTCCACACGCACGTCCTGCATCTCTCTCACACGCTCTCTCTCACACGCAACGGCCACTCTGCCACGCCCAAAGCCAGCGCTCAGCTGCAGAGGCGCAGGGTCTGCTGAGCCACGCCCGCCAATTCTCTTTTTTCCTCTTGTCTTTTTCCGCGGCTGATCATTGTCTTGCAGATCCCCCTTGCTTGCCTGCCAGCAGCACACGCCCTTTGCACACCCATACTCGCGTTGTTTCGATTCCACCATCGCACCTGTAGCAAACACACTCTCGGCTCTGTCATGAGAGCGGGGGATAAGCAAGATTCACATGCTGGCTATGTACAAGGACGGGGCGTGATTAGTGATAGGCCAAGGAGAGCGAGGAGCCCACCTTGGCCACTGCCAAATATGGAGCGTGAGGGATAGATAAGGGGTGTCCGTAGAGGGAGAGCGGCGGCGGGCTAGCAATAGCTTACTGGGCCTTGGCGGTGGCCGCCTTGGCGCTGCCCTCGAGAGCCTGGCGCTTCTTCTCGGCCTGGCGCGCACGTGCACGCTTGTACGAGAGGTCGGTGCCCATGAAGCTGTCCCACCAGCGGAAGGAGGTGGAGTAGCAGCCGACAAACGCCTGGTGGTGGTAGTCGTGGTGGTCGGCGCCCGCCCAGAAGGGGATCCAGTTGTGCATCGAGATGGGGAAGTCGTAGCCCGAGTGCGCGTCGATCGCCTGGAAGAGGCGCAGCACGATCCAGATGTATACGGTGAGGATGTGCAGGTCCTTGGTGAAGGCGCACAGCATGAACGGTCCGCCGATGGTGCCCATGCCGAGAATCAGCACCTCGAGCGGATGCGCGTACTCGGCCGCCAGACCGAACGGCGCCGAGTACTCGTGGTGCTTCTTGTGGATGTGCTTGTACAGCGGGCCCCAGTGCAGCGCGCGGTGCGCCCAGTAGTGGAAGGCATCCTCAAACAGGAAGAAGAGCCCGATCTGCCATGCGATCTTGGTCCAGTGCGGGAAGGGCACCTCGTGCGTCGCCAGGCCAAAGTACTCGCAGATGGGGTGGAACGACCAGATCTGCGGCAGCTCTACGGTAAAGTGTGACAGCAGCACGTACTTGGTGCACTTCCACTGCTGCTCAGGGGTGGGTACCTTGTCGTCCTGCAGCTTGTACTTGCGCATGCTCGGCATGGCGTCGATGATGATCCACGGAATCGCACGGCCAAAGTAGACGAGCTCGTGCAGCACAAACGACATGATGCCCGTCGCCAGCACCGGGTTGCCCCAGTACAGGTACCAGTCCGCCCATGCCTTTTCGAAGACGTTGAGCGACGCCAGATCCGTGTTCTTGTACAGGTCCGCCGCCAGATGCGTGGTGGCCGGGTTGAGCAGCGACCCGACGGTCGAGTTGAACTGCTGCGAAACAAACTCCATCGTAGCGAAGAGCTGCCAACGATGCTAGGTGCACGTTGACTCCGGGGATGAGGGTGTTGTGATGGTGGAGAAGGGGCAAGACGGATCGCTGGTTCGATTGAACCCACGACTGAGGCAGGCGG